GTCTTCACTCTGTGTCTCTGCTTCTCCTTCAGAAACTGGCCTTCATGGTGTCTCTGGGTCTGGTCACATACGACCACTTAGAAGGTGAGAGTTTGAATCCCTTCACAATCTGCTCTTTGACTGCAGAGGTCGGTCCTGGAGCCAGACTGAACCGGTCTTCAGACGTGACAGTTCACCTCCACCTTAAATTTTGATCTTTTTTTTGTAGAAATTCAGAGCAAAAGGCAGGAGAGAAAGAGAAGAACGACGGCCAACCCTGTGTACAGTGGAGCGGTGTTTGAACCCGAGGTAGGAGCACACCTGACCCTGGGTCATGTGATCTACACTGGTGTGGGTGGGTGGGTGTGAATGGTACCAGAGTGGTCAGTTCATTATTGACTTGTTTTTTTTTTTTGTTCCTCCTGCTGTTTCAGAGGAAGAAAAGTGCAGTCAGTTACCTGAACAGTCCGCTGCACCAAGGCACCAGGAAGAGAGGTGCGTATGACCTCAGGCATCACAACCACGCTGTAGAACAGCTCTTCCTGCTTTCATCCTGCTACTTCCTGTTTCCTATCCCCTCGGCTGTGTTTGTTAGAAACAACTCCAACATTGAGCTGAAGCTGTGTTCGTTCCACAGACACACATACATTAGTCGGTACTAAAAATCAGTACCAGTGGAAGTGTCATATCCTGGGTTCTGTAAAACTGTAGAACCTTAAACACACCACTGATGTTGTTGTTGTTGTCGTCGTCTGCCCCTAACAGAACCATTGTTGTTTATCACAATCTTCAGAACAACATTACCTTAGACTGCCCCCTGCTGGGTCATGAAGAAAGTGCTGTTTGTGTTCTTTACTTTTTGACTCCCTGTGTACAAAGCTAGTTGACTTTAGAACATCGAAGAGGCGACACTGTCACCACCATGTGTCAGATTTTAGTACAGCGTTTTATATCGTGACAGGACAAACGTCTACGGACGCCTGTTTCTACCGCAGGAAGTGGTGTACCAGGAACCTGGTCCGCAGCCTAAACCAGTGGAGCAGTTCTTTGACCCACGAACTTTCCTGAATATAAAGCCTATTTAACCATTTTAGCAGTGCTAACATCTGACACATTTGTGGTGCGCCTCCTAGTGGACAGTTTGTTTTGCTCTGGTGCTTGGCTTCAGCTTGACATAGTCAGTCCTGTGACTAACTGTAGGCCGTATATATATAAATGGACCTGGTACTATCTGCTGCAGGGACTGGTCTCAGACAAACACAACCTGGTTTCACCAGTGTGTGTGTGTGTGTGTGTGAGTGAGAGAGAGAGAGAGATCAATGACTGACATTGACTGAGGGAGAGTCTGTTTCATTCCACACCTACACATTGACCCCGGTGACCTCATCTGACCCCGGTGACCTCAGTGTTGCAGCAGGAAGCCTTTGTCTGTTTTATATAAATGGTCTATGGCACTAACACTGCTGTCTGTGCTTCTGACTCCTCCTCTTCCTCCTCTTCTCTCCCTGACCGCTCCCCTCGTTTGTCTCATGCTAGCCAACGAAGACTCCCTTTCCAAGGTATGTCATTCAGACTGTTTGTTTTTGTTTTTTTCCCCCTCCTCCATCTTTCTTTTTTCTTTGTTTTCCGTCTTTGTTGTCTGTCTCATTTCACCCAGGTCGCCCACCTAAATACAGCAGCGTCCCGGAGCTGGGCAGCCTCACCCCGACCTCCCCCTCCAGTCCCGTTCATCCCCTTCCCCTGCCCAGTCCCAGCTCTGGGGATGTAAGTAACGATGGGGGAGACGGGTACAGCTCAGAGGGTCGGACACCCCCTCACACACACGGCCCAGTAGCTCTGTCACCCATGTACACCCACAGACATGTCCATGACTTTGTTGTGTCCATGTGATGACATCAGCCATCAGATTTTACTTTGATCCATCCTTACAAAGTGAACAGAGTCCTGTAGTTTAACAAACCTCCATCGAAGGGCCATTCTGGGAGTTTTCATCCTCAGCTCTGTGTTCATAAATGTAGGTGTGTAAGGGAACCAAAGTCAAAGAACTGGACCAGGTCCACTCAGCTGGGTCTGGACCCCGTCAGGTAGAGTGAACCCATGGTTGAGCCAACTGTAACAGCTGCTGACAACAGCCAATGAAAAAGACAGACTTGGACGCAGGAAGTAGAGTCCACAAGGGGACAGGAAGTAGAGTTAGGTGTAGAAGAGACTGACGTATCTATAATGCTGGCTGGAGGTCAAAGGTCAGAGTTTGATGTGATCACTTGACCTCACCACAGTAGTGGACAAGTAGTGTCCTCAGATGTGAACATTTGTCTTTATTCTGTGACAAAGAGACCTGTATCCAGAACCAGGTGACGTCAGGATGAAGCCCAGACGGGTCAGAGGTAGAACCAGACTTCCTTCTAGGATCTGTTCCCTGCGTGTTTGTGGAGGACAGAACGACTATAGTCCCGTCTGGGATTTGAACCAATGAGGTGCTGTGAGGCAGCAGTACTTCAGGAACTGAACTGTGGTTCTCATACAGCTGCCGTGGGTGAAGAACCTGGTCCAGCCCAGAGTGGTGGTGGGACCATGACTGGAGTTCTAAAGATTGACTGTGGGAACGAGACATGTCAGAACCACAGAACCACATTTATGAACATGGAGCCTGGGTTGAAGAGTCCAGTACTACTACTACTACTAGTACTACCACTACTACTACTACTACTCTTACTCTTACAACAGTTAGTCTTAGTGCGGGTGTTGAGAACACCTGGTTATCTTCTGTGTGAGCTCAGTGAATTAACACAGCATGTCCATTCAGACGTCAGAGCCTCGAGGTTTACTAAACCATCCAGATCACGGAGCCACCCCCGCCTCGCTGCTCCACAGACGCTGGGCGGGGCTGAGTGGAGCGGGGAGAACTGATTGGTCCACTTCCTTCTCACAGGGAGACATCCATGAGGATTTCTGCACTGTGTGCAGACGCAGTGGCCAGTTGCTCATGTGCGACACGTGTTCTCGTGTTTATCACCTGGACTGCCTGGACCCACCCTTGAAAACCATTCCTAAAGGCATGTGGATCTGTCCAAAATGCCAAGATCAGGTAAACCGCAGCAGCCCCAGACTGACGGGGGT